TAACCCGGCTTTGCCTTACAATAGATTCCTCCTGCTTTATTTCCTGGGAAGTACGTACTAACAGCAGTATGATACCCCAGAAAGCAGGAGTTAGCTGTAATTGCTCATTCACATGTAAGTCAAGCATATTGTAGTAGGCTGTATACTTTGTGATTGTGTCATGCATGGTTAGTGGCATTGATACTGGAATGCATACATTCTAGCATGCTGTACTCTTGACCACAGTTAACATGGAACATGCAAAACACTTTGAGGAGGAGCATGTGTTTTGCCTGGGTAACTTTTGAGCTGTCAGTGAGGCATCAGGTATTGAGAACAGACAGATGGGGAATATAGGTGAGTAACAGATGTGTTAATAAGGACTAATTCATTCTAGAGTGCCAGAGTCCTGAGAATGAAACCACTTAGGGGAAAAGTTGCTTGCTTCTGCTCCTGTAATACAATGCCTGAGAAAAGTAGTGTTGAAAGGCAGAGAGATGTTGTGGCTCATGCCTGTAAAGTTCACATCCAGACTCTACTATAAGATAGTGAGCAGACATTAGACAGAGCCTGCAGGGGGATACACTGAGGAGGAAAGAGTCTGAGGATGGTGGGCGCTGGAGTTGTTGATAGTGAGTGGGTGAGTCTGCATAGCGATGCTGTGCGGACACTTGTGCGAGGCTGTCAGGTCGTGGCTTGCTGCATCACGAGGACAGAGCTGAGAAACATAGAATCAGTATTCCCTTAGACAGGCTAAAAAGCACACAGCGGTAACATAGCCGAATGGCTGGAAGAGGGTAATGCTCAGTGTTTCTGTGTTCTTCATAAACAGATCTAAGGCTTCCTGCTGCACACCCATCTGTTGGTAAAAGTCTCGGCTGTGGTGACCATCGCTTCTGATTGTGATGCTGTGGTAGTGTGGCGTGCACTCCAGCATGTACAGTAACTTGACAAGTGCTCATTCTTTTCTGTTGGTGCCTCATAAGTGTTTTGCCATTTGCCATGTACTTTGTGTTAGTTCACAAGTCTGCATTAGCCCACCCCAGGTTGCATAAGTACTTGTGATGTCGTCATTGACTGCTGCCCCTGCATAAAAGAACCCCTGCCTCTTACTTGGCTCTCTTGCGCTCTCCTGCTCTCACCTTTCTCTATTGGGGCACCCTCCTCCCTTCCCCCACCATGTCTCTCTTTCTTCTTCCCTCTCTCCATCTCTATCCAATAAACCTCTTTCATATAGTATCTGTTGTGTGCATCATTTGTAAAATAATACAGTTTTGAGGAGCAGTTGATGATCCGTCACCTTGTGTGGCCGAGTCTTCAGTTAGGTGGGCATTTCAGAAGACCTAAGCGTCACACAAGACATGAGCCAAGCTCTGCATTATTCAGTGGTGATGGCTAGAAAGCTTGTTGGCATCGAGTGTATCTTTCCCATTGGTAGCTCAGGTATAATGGAAAGATGGCTTAAAACAGTGTCTTGTTAGCAGTCAACAGTCATAGGATCTACAGCCTCACAGAGGACCAGCCATTCCTGAGGGCATCCAGCTGAGAGAAGCCCTCACTGAAGCTTGGTCTGTCTGTAGCCCTTCACTGGCCTCAACCAGGAAAGAGCTCACCAACAGGAGGCTTCTCCAGACCAGTCACAGTGCTGCTTGTAGCCTGCCCTTTTCTGGTTTGAGGGAAATAGGTCTGAAGGTTAAATGCTGATTGTTCTTTGTATGCTAGAGGAGGGCCTCATTAACCCTTTATCTGAGTAACATACCGAAAGCAGAGCAGTCAGCTGGTGTTGCCCATTGTCAGACATTGTCACACACAGCTGTGTGTGTGTAGACTGCATCTCAGGAGATAACTCATAGGAACTGCTCTGCTCACAGTCTTGCTGAGTTTAGCAGACCAAAAGCCCTTCGTGGAATTCCTTTCACCCATTGTTCCTTAGGAGTCCCTTTGAGGTAGGTGGTGGAGTAAGGTGGAGATTGCCAAAATCCATGTGGTGTCATGTCTGTCGGCACGAAGGGGACATCCATGCATTGTTACTTTATTAATCTGTTCTAAAAAACTCAAGTGATTATTGGTATTCTTCAAAATATGCTCACAGTTACTCCTGCACTGTGCTGGAACCATCCAGTGTAAATTATGTTTATCATATTTATCATAATTATGTTATGATTTAAGGTGACTTCTGAGGAAGCTTTTGTGAAAACTTCCACGTTTCTTGCTTACTGCTAATCAGTTAAACACTGAGACACATGGCCACTCCTCAGAATATGCCTCAGTTTTAGCAAGCTGGTAATTTTAAAACATTACTGGATTATTCATAGGCATTTTAGTCTTGAGTGCATAGCCATGAGGGGGATACAGTACTTGGACAAGAAGAGGGGCTTAGGGCTGTAGTCGCTGAGGATTGTAACTGTACAGCACCCTAAACAGGTGTGTGGGTTTGAATTTCACAATGTGCTTCCTCTGTGTATGTTGAGCTTCCTAGTTCCCCTTACAAGTTTCTCTTCTTTTCTTTAATAAGAACTGTGATTTGAAAACTAAATCACCTTATTGCTAATTATCCAACTGCAGCACATTTCCCATAGACATGTTTGTAGATTTTTATTGTCTTACATGTATTAAGTAAATTCTGATATTTATAACTAATTTTAACCAAAACCAGAAAGCTGTAGAGCTGGAAATATTCAGTTATGGGGCAAATGAAATTATCATATCATAAAAGCATAAGTGCTTTTACTCATTTTTGTTGCTGACCAGCCTTATGTAGTGATTATTTTTAAATCTCATTTTATTGGAGAGAGCATTCAGACAAGAACTAAGGACAGTAAGGAGGCACTCATTAGGACTGAGCAGAGCAGTGAGGTGTCAGCTTGCTTTTTCCTACTGAGGCAGAATGGAATTATATGACAGATTGGGAGCTATTCAACAGAGGCTTTGCTTTTACCTACTGGGTCTCTAAAATGAGCCCTGAATCTTTTGTTTGCCACTCAGCATTGACACACCTGTCAGATGAGCAAGTGGGCTGTAAAAAGAAAAATAAAGATGATGAGTTTTTTTAATAAAATCTTAAATGTTACCTTGTCAAATTTCTCAATATTCTAACATGCGTGTATAAGCAGGCACGTGACCACATGACATGTGTGTCATTCCAAACCTTTTAAGTCAATTTTTGGGTCATAATGAAAATAGTCATCATCGTTTCTGGTATGTTACAAAGCTGGGGATCAAATCCCACATGCTAGCAGATGTTCTGTCATTGACCTATATATGATATGTCCACTTTTTTATATCATATATAAAGCTAAAGCTAAATTACTTTCAGTTTTCCTTAATGCTACTCAGAAATAAGTCCAAGTTTATATGAGAAGGTCACATGACCATGTGGTGCCACATGGCCATGTGTCCTCAGACTGCTTCTCTAAAGAAGGAAATTATAAGCTGCTAAGTGGGCTTTGCACTGTTCCCTATAGCTCTGCTTTTGGGAGATGAATACCTGCAGTGCTTGGGCACTTTTCCTTTAAAAGTTGGGGTTTTATTTGATCCTCAGTACTTTTTTGCCTGTAGCTAAGCTTGGATGGCAGTGTTTATTTCTGGAAAGAAAGAAGGATTATGCTGGTGTTTTATGTTCAAAATGATTCATTGGAATAAAATCCAAGCATGAGGACTGAGGGAGGCAGGGATTGCCTAACCTGCAGGAGCCCCTGGATTTAGCTTCCTGCACCATATAAAACTGAACCTGGTGTAAGCCTGTAATCCCACACTGTAGATGTGGAGACAGGAGGATCAGAAGTCCACGGCCATCCTTGACTATATATAGAGCCTTTTAAAAAGTAATAAAGCTGAGTGTGAAACATGAAGCAATAGTAAAAACTCATTTATGAAATAACTGACGCTTTGACCAATCTATGTTTATTTTTGGCAGTCAGGCCTTAAATATTCTTCATGGTAGCTTATTAGTATTTTTAAAAGCATTTAAGGACACTTATAAACTGTCTCAGGTTCTTTTCCATTTGTGACAACATGCATAAAGTTCACTTTTGAGATACAGTCTAAGTAACAAGCATTGGCCTCAGGTGGAAATACCTGCTCTCCAGACACAGCACCTGGGTAAACGTCGAGACCAGAATTGCCTGCTGGTGGAGTTTCCTCCTCACTTACGTTAGTTACTTGTTTCAGGAATCTATATTACTCTTTGTCTACCAAGGCCTCTTGCTTCCTTTATCTCTGGTTCTCAGAATCTGTGTGCATCTGTTCACATTTGTCTCGGGGATTTAAGTGTTTGTCAGCACAGCTCTTGTTGACTGTGACTGACCTCGGTGAGGATCTTAGAAGTGTGTTATGTGCTGCAGTGGACTTCTCACAACACTAGCTGTCAGATTTGTGTTCAGGCTGATACCAACGCTATGGTGTTAAGCTTTTCCTCAAAGTGAAAACTTTGGGAGTAAGTTACCTTGGGTTGGCTTTGGTAAGTTAGAACCTCCAACTCTCCTTTTTAAGAACAGTTTCCCAGCACAAATGTGCATATGCCCTGAGCTTGTGATCTCTCTTTCTTTGCCTTCTGGTTGTTTCTGTTTTTTGTTTGTTTGTTTGTTTGTTTGTTTTTTTATCAGAGTGAATGTAAATTTGTTAAGAAAAGGGTTTGAAAGGACTGAGGGTGGGAGGGTCTCCAAGAAGCATGGTGCCCCCTGACTTAATTGTTGAGCTGGGACAGCAGCCAGATCTAACCTCCATCTCCTCATGTGTAAAGCTGGGAATGGCATTTACAGTTTGTTCTTGTTTTGTCAAATCACTGAGAATGTATGAACGAAGTACCTGGAAGCAGATAAGTGACTTTTCACAGTGTGTAGGTTTGAGGGATATGGGTCATGACTACAGGTGGGGAAGACAGAGAAAGGGGTCATTAGGGAGTTGTAGTGACCTCTTTCCTGGGCAGAGTGGTGTGGCTCAGAGTACCCAGTGCCCCTCACGAGGGCCTTCCCTTTACAGTGGAGATGCTGCCTGAGTCACTGCTTCTCTCTGTCTCCTAGGGTACCTGCGTGGAGCTACCATGGAAAAGTCCTGGATGCTGTGGAGCTTTATTGAAAGATGGCTGCTAGCTGTGGCGTCCTGGTCTTGGGCTCTCTGCCGCATCTCTCTTTTGCCTTTGATAGTGACTTTTCACTTGTATGGAGGCATTATTTTACTTCTGTTAATATTCGTGTCAATTGCAGGTATCTTGTATAAATTCCAAGATGTCTTGCTCTACTTTCCAGAACAGCCATCCTCTTCCCGCCTTTATGTTCCCATGCCCACGGGTATTCCACATGAGAACATTTTCATCAGAACCAAAGATGGAGTCCGCCTGAATCTGATCTTGGTAAGATACACTGGAGACAATTCCCCCTACTCCCCAACTATAATTTATTTTCATGGGAATGCGGGCAACATAGGCCACAGGCTACCAAATGCCCTGCTTATGCTGGTGAACCTCAAAGTCAATCTCGTGCTTGTTGATTATCGGGGCTACGGGAAAAGTGAAGGAGAAGCCAGCGAAGAAGGCCTGTATTTGGACTCCGAAGCTGTGCTAGACTATGTGATGACTAGGCCTGACCTCGATAAAACAAAGGTTTTCCTTTTTGGCCGCTCCTTGGGAGGAGCAGTGGCCATTCACCTGGCCTCTGAGAATTCTCACAGGATTTCAGCCATCATGGTGGAGAACACGTTCCTAAGCATACCGCACATGGCCAGCACTCTGTTTTCCTTCTTCCCGATGCGTTACCTTCCCTTGTGGTGCTACAAGAATAAGTTTCTGTCCTATAGGAAGATCTCCCAGTGCAGGATGCCTTCTCTCTTCATCTCTGGCCTCTCCGACCAGCTGATTCCGCCCGTGATGATGAAGCAGCTCTATGAGCTCTCCCCCGCCCGGACTAAGAGATTAGCCATTTTCCCAGACGGGACGCACAATGACACGTGGCAGTGCCAAGGCTACTTCACTGCGCTCGAACAGTTTATCAAGGAAGTGATCAAGAGTCACTCTCCTGAAGATATGGCGAAAACATCGTCCAATGTCACCATTATCTGAGGCCATGCTCCAGATGGATGCAGAATGACAACGTGCTTTCTGGGTGTGTGTTCATACTGGTCTACACGGTGACTAAGCTTTGAAAGGCCTCAGGACTCCATTCTGATGATCCTGCAACTTTCCATAGTTTCCGAACCGGCCTTCTCGAGAATGATAGTCCATCAGAACTCCAGCCTGGTGAAATACCCTTAGCTCTAGTTTAACATGCTGGTTTGATAGAGGTCATCCAAAAGTTTCTTGTTGGTTAAGTGATAAAATCTATGTTGTACTCAGATGGAGACGTGAACAAGCACCCTTCAGGTGTCATTCCTTTAGTAAATATTGGGACAATCACGGTAAGCAAGCCTGGCGCTACTGCGCTTTTACCTTAAGCATTAAGATGAAGTGCATGGTGGTGTTTTATTCTTATGCAATGCGATATTTTTAATGTAAATAATACTGGTCACATGCCAATGTGTATGACCTCCTGGGTTATATCTATTTTCATGTAAACTATTTTGTTCCGGTGAGGGATGAGTGTGAGGCCTGTGATGGATTCCATGCTCTGCTGCTGCTGATATCCGGCTTTTCCTAATAATAAACAGGACCATTTTCCGATACAGATGTACTGTGTTTCTGTTAGGTACTGTCTGCTTGGTGGCTAGTGGGACAGGCAGTTAGCATTTTGCTGCAGCTTTCTTTGCATATTGAACTTCTTAACACTAACAGCTACAGCAAAGGCTAGACGTAGCTGATGGATGAATTAGGATATCTCAAAACATGTATGCACATGGCCTTATGCAGTGCTTTCATCTGGTGAGGTCCCAGGACCTAGCATGTGCCTGAGCTGACAGAGGCCAGCAGTAGTTACTGACCTTTCAGAGAAGTTACATGAGGAAAGAAAAACAAAAAAGCAAAGGTGGTTTACTATTTCAGTTGTATGTAATGGGTTTGTGTAAAGTGACAGTCTTAGGAAAATCTGTCAGTTTTTCCAGGTGCAACTGAAGGATTCTGAAGCTTTTGCCAACCTGTGACACATAGAGCAGTTAAGGAGTTGTCGGTGGGAAGTTGTACTTGACAGAGCAACCCCTGACGCCTGAAAACACTTGGTAACATTAGTGAGGAGGTGGAACCTGCCAAGTACTTTCCCACATGCCTCACTGAGATGTGCTGGATCCCTGTGCTAGGCAGCGCCAACACACAGTGACAGATAGCTTGATTGTATTCCTACCACAAGCAGCTAGGGAAGACAGGATGAGCCAATAATCTTGACCTTGAGTGAAAACTTCCCATGAACGTTTAAGGCTAGAAATACCTATGCCAAGTGGCGCTCTTAGCCCTTGCTGTATGCCAGTGTTTAGAAAACAAGAATGCAGAGCAAGTATAATTTCTAAAGAATAATGCTTTTCTAGAAATTATTCATTGTAAAAAGTCTTGTTTTTTTAAAGAGTTGATAACCTAACCTATCATGGAGGGTGTGTTTTGTATGTGTGAATTCACCACCATTAAAGGCTGCTTTTCACCTGGTCAGTCTCTGCTATCTAGAATGACTGTCCTGACTAGTAATCCACCGAAGGGCACAGAGTAGCAACGGCCAGAATGCAGTCTCTTTAGAGGGTGCGGTCGTGGCAGACTTCATCAAGCTTTAGTGTACTGAGCACTGTGTTCCTGTTCTGCCTCCATCAGTCGCTTGGTCTGGTGAGTTTACCCATGTGAGTGTATAAATCATACTGCCGAAACAGGACAGCTACCCCTCCCTGCTGCTTCTCTGCTGCTTTCTGTTAAGCTTTTGCTGACTGGGTCTTGGGTGGAAGAGCACAGGGTGCACCATGTTTATTCTCCTAGAGGAGCCTTCACTTCTGCAGCAGAGACAGTGAGAGCTGTGTTTACAAATGTAGAGCTTTGTTTGATGAGATTTCTGTAGACGGGCAGGGATGGAAAACAAACTCAGACTTTCGGGGGCTGTGATGCACCCCTGGCACTATTTTTAAAAACCTTCTCACTCAGTCTCAGTGTTTGGCCCCCATCATTGGTGAAAATGGTCATGGTCTGCCAGTCTGTCAATTTCTAGTTTAAAAGCAGTTAAGAGAAATGAGTAAATAATCTTAAGTTATTCAGCTGCTCTGAATTTGGAAATACTAAAATTATCCTAAACATGTCAAGATAACATTACTTAGAAAAAAATCTAAAATTCCGTATTTCTGAGAATACTGCATACTAAGGGAAGAAAGTCTTTGTTACAGATAAAAGGATACTAATAGGCTAGACTAGTTGATAGCAGTTGGTGCCTCCGTTCTTCATTTGAGAGACAGAAGTACTTAATTGGTGAGGTGGATGAGCAGAAAACGTTAGAGCACCATTTTAAATCAAAGCCCTAACACAAGGTGACCCTGTGCCAGTTGAACTGTCTTAGGTTTTGACTGTGGTGACACATCCATTAAGTGTTGCTATAAAATGGGTCGGTCCCACAACAGCTTAGATCCCAGGTGGGCTGCAGACAGTGTTGAGAGGTCATGGCTCTAGTGACATCACGGGAGCAACGCGAGTGTGTGTGTGTGTGTGTGTGTGTGTGTGTGTGTGTGTGTGTGTGTG